CATCAAGAAACAAAAAGAGAGTATCCAAATAAATAAAATCAGAAACTAAAGTCGAGAAATAACCATTGACACCACAGAAATACAAAGGATTGTAAGGAATTACTATGAACGAGAGATAAGCTGGACAAAGTAGGTGAAATGAACAAACTCCTTAAAAAATACAATCTTCCAAAACTGAATTAGGAAGAATCAGAAAACCAGAATAGGCCAATGGCAACTGATGACATACAAGCAGTAATCAAAAACCTCCCAGCAAACAAAAATCCTGATCCAGACGGATTCACAGGGGAGTTTTACTGAACACTTAAAGAACTAACACTAATACTCCTCAAACTATTCCAAAAAATCCAAGAGGAAGGAACACTTTCAAGCTCTTTTTATGAGGCTAGCATTATCCCAATTCCAAAACCAGATAAAGACACTATAAAGACAGAGAACAACAGGCCAATAATCCAGATGAATATAAATGCTAAAATCCTCAACAAAATATTAGCAAATCAGATCCAGCAATATATTGAAAAGATCATATACCATGACCAAGTAGGATTTATTTTGGGGATGCAAGGCTGGTATAATATTCACAAATCAACAAACATGATACATCACATAAACAAACTGAAAGACAAAAGACAAATAATCATAGCAATAGACACAGAGGAAGTATTGGACAAAATCCAACATGCATTTTTTATAAAAAGTCTCAGTGAAGAGGGAATAGAGGGATCATATCTCAACATAATAAACACCATATAAGACAAACTAACAGCCAACATCATACTCAATGGGCAAAAACTAAAACCTTTTCCCCTAAAAACAGGAACAAGACAGGGATGTCTGCTTTCACCACTCTTATTCAATACAGTACTGGAAGTCCTAGCAACAGAGATGAGACAATAAGCAGCAATAAAAAGCATCCATATTAAAAAGGAGGAAATAAAACCCTCATTATTCACAGATGACATGATATTGTACACAGAAAACCCCAAAGACTCCACCAAAACTACTAGATTTAATAAAGGAATTTGGCAATGTAGCAGGATATAAAATAAGCACCCAGAAATCGATGGCATTTTTATACACCAATAATGAATCCGCAGAAAGAGAAAATAAACAAACAATGCCATTTGCCACTACAACAAAAATATCCCACTGGGGTATGGCTCAGTGGAAAGAGTATCCACCTGCGGACTAAAAGGTTCCAGGTTCGATTCCAGTCAAGGGCATGTACTTTGGTTGCAGGTACATCCCTAGTAGGAGGTGTGCAGGAGGCAGGTGATTGATGTTTCTCTCTCATTGATGTTTCTAATTCTCTATCCCTCCTCCTTCCTTTCTGTAAAAAAAAAATCAATAAAATATACAAAAAAAAAAAAAATTAAGACACTTAGGAATACACTTAACCAAGAAGGTAAAAGACTTGTACTTGGAAAACTACAAGATGTTTAAAAAATAAATAGAAGATATAAACAAGTGGAAGAATATACCATGTTCATGGTTTGGTAGAATTAACATCATTAAAATGCCCATACTACCCAAGGCAATCTATAGATTCAATGTAATTCCTATTAAAAATAACAATAGCGTATTTCACAGATCTAGAATACTCCAAAAATTTATATGGAACCAAAAAGACCCTAAATAGCCACAGCAATCTGGAAAACAAGAAACAAAGTTGGAGGGATCACAATATCAGATATCAAGTTATACTGTGAAGCCACTATAATCAAAACAGCCTGGTACTGGCACAAGAACAAACATACAGATCAATGAAACAAAACAGAGACCCCAGAAATCAACCTAAGCCATTACACTCAATTAATATTTGACAAAAGAGGCAAAAGCATAAAATGCAAAAAAAAGGAAGAGAGTGAGAGAAACATACTAGGCCACCAACTCACACCATACACAAGAATAAAATCAAAATGAATAAAAAGACTTAAATGTAAATCATGAAACCATAAAATTCCTAGAAAAAAACTATAGGCAGCAAAATCTCAAACATCTCTTATAGCAATATGTTTGCAGATATTGTACATCTCCTAGGTCAAAGGAAACAAAGAAGAAAATAAGCAAATGGGACTATATCAAAATAAAAAGCTTCTGTACAGCAAAAGAAATCATCAACAAAAGGAAAAGGAAACCCACTATGGGAGAACATATTTGGCAATAATATATGTGATAAAGGCTTAATATCCAAAATATATAAGGAACTCACGTATACAATTAACAAAAGAAAAATTTTTAAAAATGGGCAAAAGGACCTAAATAGACACTTCTCCAAAGCAGACATGTAGATGGCCAAGAGACGTGAAAAAATGCTCAAAGTCACTGACCATCAGAGAAATGCAAATTAAAATGACAATGAGGAAGCACCTCACACCTGTCAGAATGGCTACCATCAACAAATCAACAAATGGCCAGTGCTGGCAAGGATGTGGAGGAAAGGGAATCCTAGTACACTATGGTGGGAATGTGGACTGGTACAGTCATTATGGAAAACAGTCTGAAAATTTTTTTCCTCAAAAAATTAAATATGGAACTGCCATATGACCCAGTTATCCCACTTTTAGGAATATAACCTAAGTGACCCAAAACACCAATCAGAAAGAATGTATGCACACCTATGTTCTTAGCAGTGCAATTTACAATTGCTATGATCTGGAAACAGCCTTAGTGTTTCACTCATCAGTAGATGAGTGAATAAAGAAGTTGTAGTACATTTATACCATGGAATAATATGCTGCAGTAAAAAAGAAGGTTCTCTTACCCTTTGAGACAGCATGGAAGGACCTGAAGAGTATTATGCTTAATGAAATAAGCCAGTCAGAGAAACACAAGTATTATATGATTTCACTCATAGGTTGAATTTAATGAACACAATAAACTGATCCAGAGGCCTAGAAGCATGGAACAGACTGTGGAATCTCAGAGAGAAGGCTGTAGGTGGGAAGAGATCAACCAAAGAACTTGCATGCATATATGCATAACCAATGGACAAAGACAATAGAATGGTGAAGGCCTGGGGTGAGGGATGGGGGCAGGCTAGAAGCACGTAAGGGGGGCAAAGGGGACATATGTAATACTTTCAATAATAAAGATGTAAATTAAAAAAAATAGGATGCTTACAATTAATTGTAATGAGTGATTGAATTTTAGAGAACTAACAAGATCAGAAGCTATTAATACTTTCAAGAGAAAAAATTGGAGACAAACTAAACATATATCATAGGGGGATGGCTAATTATGGTGTACATATACACTTTTGCATACTACACAGCAGTTAAGGAATGATATAAAATTTTGTATACATATGTAAGAACATCTACAAAATAGAGTAAAAAAATTGTTACACAACATGCATAATATAACTATCATACATATATATACAATAATGTTTAAATGTTATTATTTATATAGTAAAGGGTGTCAAAACACATTCTTAAAATAGGAGAGGAAAAGATGGTCTGTTCACTTTATTTTATATACTTCTGTGTTCATCACATTAAGTAGGTGTAATGTAGTTAATAACTGTCACTCCACTACGGTTTTAATGAGGTGAAGGTTTATGCAGTTAAACAAATAAAACCAAAGATTTTTATTTAAAGGTAATTACAGTTTGGTCTTGTGTGACCACCTCTATAACCTGCTCTCATCGGTGTCTGCTGCAGCAGAAAAGCCACAGGAATCGCCAGGCCAGTATTTTTATCCTACTCTGGGGGACAAATCTATTGATATTTGGGGGGGGAAAAATGAAAAGCTACAGCTCCTTCCCTTAAAAAAATGCCCATTCCCACATCCATACTAGCTTATTCATACAGTTTTAGGGGACTCACAGCCTCTCTGAAGCCCTACATAGACCTAGGCTGAAAACTCTGGCCCTAGGTTCCAAACCAACTAAGGAAAACAAACACATTTCTCCAATGACTCTGAAACTGATAAAGGAGAATATTTGAAAATATGGCCTTTAATATCTCTAGAATCATATGGAAACCTTGGAATTAACAAGATGTTTGTGTGTGTGTGTGTGTGTGTGTGTTTTCTTTCAGTAGACCTGAGAGGGCCAACAGGAGCTGCTTATTTTTATGTTTCTGTTTAAGGATGCAGGAGAGGGATATGAATCCTAAAGGCTGTGAAGAAAGGGGTTATATAATTATAAGATCTGAAATAATTTCCAAATAGGGTGCATGTGTGTGATTTAAATTTAAAATGAGCTTCCTCTCTTTAACAAGCCTAGATATGGATCTAGTGTAAAAGCTTATTAAGAAGAATCAACTTAGATGTCAGGCAGTGAGTAGGGAATGATCTAAATTAGCATGTATAACGCTGTATAATGCTTTTGACTCTCTTTGAGCCACAGGTGACTCAAATACTTTCCACTACCTTTAAAACGTCAAAAAGCCCCTTTCTGCTGCCACCACAGAGGCAGAGCAATAGTACTTCTGGTAGATGTAGGGCAGAGGCAAGAAGGAAAACAACATAAGAAAAAATAGGAGTAGACAAGGGGAAAAAGTAGCACTAGCTGCTATGGTAAGGAACAACTGCCTTAGACCACTGTGTTTCAGACTTTTTGGATTGGGATCCACAGTTAAGAAATATATTTTTACATAGTGACCCAGTACACATGCATATAACAGAAGTTCCATGAAACTATACTCATTTAATCCTATTACTTGCAATGCACTAATCTTTTCTTTTTTGCTTTTTTTTTTTTTTTTAACTGATTTCAGAAAGGAAGGGGGAGAGAGAAAGAAACATTGATGGAAGAGAGAAACATCACATTAATTTGTTGCTTCCTGGATGTGCCGGACCTGGAATCAAACTCGCCACCTTTTGGTGTATGGGATGCTGCTGCAATCAGCTGAACCACCCAGCCAGGACTTCATTTCACTTTTTGATTGAAATAATAATGGGTCATAACCTGACATTTGAAAGCATTGCTTCAGATATGTCAATTTATCAGGTAGCATTCTTAAATTTTCTTTGGTCAGAACAGGTTTCCATACCTTGGGAAGACTCGAGAACGTAATTCCTTCACAAAAGTCCTAGTTCCAGCTTGCACTGGTTTGGAACCATCATCAATTTCGGTGTAGTCGTGCCTGTGCCAGTTTCTTCTCTTTTTCACTGGATTTTTTAGATAAAAAAAAAAAGAAACATTTGGTACATAGTGATGCTATGTACTTTCTAATCATTAGATAATTAAACATAACAATTTTTAAATACAATAAAAACTCATATTTTGTATGCATTTCTAGGCTGAAGAAGTAAATTTTACTTTATATACTACAGCAACTATAGGCAATTAACTGTTTTTTTAATCTACTCTTTTTGTTTCATAATAATTTAAAATTAAATCAAGGGATTCTAATTAGCAGATGGAGCCTTTTATAAGATCTGCATTTACAATACTATAATATCTCACAATTATTTAAAATCATAATTTTTACAGATCATCCAAATCATTCTTTCAGAATAGGGTCTTTGATCCTATATCAGAAATCTATTTTTAACAGCATAGCTCCCTTCTCTTTTATGTCAAGATTTATTCCCCCAATAAGCATGGTTATACCAACACAAAAAAGAGCAGGTGACTGCATCACAATTAAAGAAAGACAAGTGGAATCACAGAATAAATGGCTTTATGGTTATTTCTAATGCCTAGCTCCAGCAGGATGTAATCTTGAATACTCACAGCAGTCAAAATCAGGAGACTTGGGGGGGGGGGGGGTACAGGGGGAGGGGGAATAGAGGAATAAGGACACATATGAAACACCTTAATCAATAAATTTGTTTTAAAAATCAGGAGACTAGAACGTGACTCCTAGTTTGACCATAACTATTCTGCCACCTTGGGCAAGTAATTTAACATGTTTGTCTCCAGTTTCCTCAGTATGGAAAGGGAGGGGATGAGTGCTGCGTTTCCATCTGTGTTGAGGAACCCTTAATAAAGGGGAAGAAGGGAAAGAGGCTGAGGGAGGAGCTCTGGACATGATTCCCCTTTCCACCAGGGTGGCACCACCTACCTATCTTTTGTGTGGTATTAATACAAGATTTCAGTCATATATATATATATATATATATATATATATATATATATATATATATATATTTAAGTTTAAAAAGCACTCTTAAGCTTTATATTGATGTCTGCAACTTACTTAGAATGCATAAAAAATAAGATGATAGTGAGATAGTTACATGGACAGATATGTGGTAAAGCAAAAACATAAAATGTTAATAGAATATATATAATGGATTTAGAGGTACTCATTATAAAACTCTTTCAACTTTTCCTGTATGTTTAAACATTCTCATAACCAAATGTTGGGTGGGGAATAAACTCTGTGAGTCTAAGTTACTTCACACCTTCACTGTAAAATAATCATCCTATATAAAGAGGCAATATGCAAATTGACCCTCACATCCTCACAAGATGGCTGCCTACAACCAGGCTGGCAGGGAGGTTAGTGAGGGATGACTAACTGAACAAATAGGCTGCATGGGGCAACCAGGCTGGCAGGGGGCTTAGTGAGGGAAAACCAAACGACTAAACAGCAGGCCGTGTGGGGTGACCAGGCCAGCAGGGGGTTACTGAGTGACGACCAAACTACTGAACAGCAGGCTGTGTGGGGCAACCAAGACAGCAGGAGGGGGACAGTTGGGAGCAACCAGGCCAGCAGGGGGGTGAAGGGGGGAGGAGTTGGGGGTGACCAGGCTGGCACTCAGAGTCAGTGAGGGGCAATCGGGCCAGCAGGGCGGCGGGGGGGGGGGGGGGGGGGGGGGGGTACGGACAGTTAGGGGAAACCAGGCAGGCAGGTGAGCGATTAGGAGCCAACGGTCCAGGATTGTGAGGGGGATGTACAACTACCAGCCACTGGACATCCCCAAGGGGTACTGTATTGGAGATGGTACAGGCTGGGCTGGGGGGACCCTCCCCCCATGCATGAATTTTGTGTACAGGGCCTCTAGTAATAACACAGTAGGTCCTCAGGTTACATCAAAGATCCGTTCCTAAGGCTCGATGTAATGTGATTTTCACCATAAGTCGGAACCCATCTACATAAGCACCTATTAATATATCACTCACATGGAGCACATACACAGCAGTAATGAAGTGAAACAATAAAAAAAAAATTTTTTTAAAGAAAGGTAACAATTCCTGACCTTTACTTGTGTAAAATAAATAATAAAAAACATAAAGCACATATGTACATACATCGAAATGACAGAACTTTTTGTTTTTATAAATAAATGGGAGATGGCAACGTAACCATGAAACTGTATGTTGAGTCCAACGTAACCCAAGGACTGCCTGTAATACTGATTTCTCATATGGATAAGAAGTCAAACTAAACAATCAATAGGGATGGACTTATTCATATCTAAGAGTCTAAAACAAGATCTCTAAGAAATTTATGGCAGTCAGACCTTCAATATAGAAGACAGTAAATTCCATTTTTTAAAATGTATTTTATTGATTTTTTTACAGAGAGGAAGAGAGAGGGATAGAGAGTTAGAAACATTGATAAGAGAGAAACATCAATCAGCTGCCTCCTGCACAGCCCCTACTGGGGATATGCCCTCAACCAAAGTACATGCCCTTGACCAGAATCGAACTTGGGACCCTTCAGTCCATAGGTCAATGCTCTATCCACTGAACCAAACCGATTAGGGTCCCCCTTTTTTTTAATCTCACGAGAAAAATTGAGAATCATAAAACAACCTTCCTAGAAAATCCAATTAAGGTATCTTTTGTGTCTTATTTTTTCTCATTTAAAATCACTTCTAAAATTCAGAAGTATTTAATTCCAGGCTTTTTTCCTTATCTATATGTATATATAGATAAGCAACCCCATTTTATTTTCAACTAGGATCATAATTCTGCTTACCTTTCTTATTATACCATGACCAATTTCTCCTTAATAGCCAAAAGCAATGTAAAATGGCTTAGAATTATTTTAAGATATAGATGCAGATGCATGTTATAATCATTTTTTAATTCTTATGTACTTTGTCCATCCTGAATCTTTCTTCAAACAAAGTTGGGATTGATATTCATATACATAAATATGTTTCCCTCATTAATTCCTTGGGATAAACTCCTAAAAATGCAAAAAGAAATACTCAAAATTTTAAAGAAACTAGCTACAAATTGCAAAACTAACTGCCTTCAGAAAAGTGGCAGGTGACTCACATTCTTACCAATGTATATACACAGCCTATTTCAAAGCCCTGGATCAATCAGTATTGGAAAGAAAAGGAAATGCTGCTCATTTGGTAAGTAATTGTGATATTACATTGTTTTAATGTCATTTTTGCAGAAATGATTAGAATTAGAACAGATTGGGATTGGTTAGCTATGGGTTTTAACTCTAGCTCTGCCAAATAGTTATATAAAAGAGCTATTAGATCACTTTTCTCACATCATGCTGTTATAAATATCAAAGGAGATAACATAGGTCAAGTACTTAGCATAGTTCTGGCACCCAGTAAGGTTTCCTTTTTAATGTTCAGACTTGGAGGATGTTAACAGAAGGATATGACTATCCTGTGGGGTCAACACATTTGACACACAAAATCAGCCACTGTAAGAGCTAACAGAATCTCTTGAAGATATTTGAAATATCTCTTGAAGATATTGAAATATTTCAGTAGTGTTCATGGGGAAAAGAGAGTATTTTGAGTTTGAATTGTATGTGCCTGGAGAGCACTGAGAATATATGTTTAGGTATTAGGCTGGTTTTTTTTTTTTTTTTTTTATATCTGTCCTTAATTCCCATAAGAGGTAAAGTCTAAATTCACCATGTTAAGTGGGTATCATAGTGTCTAGATGGTATCTAAATAATAAGGATTCCGCCGAAACCGGTTTGGCTCAGTGGATGGAGCGTCGGCTTGGGGACGTTGAAGGGTCCCAGGTTCGATTCTGGTCAAGGGCATGTACATTGGTTGCGGGCATATCCCCAGTGGAGGGTGTGCAAGAGGCAGCTGATCGATGACTCTCTCTCATCATGTTTCTAATTCTCTATCTCTCTTCCTTCCTCCCTGTAAAAATCAATAAAATATATTTTAAAAAATAAAATAAAATAAATAAATAAATAAATAAATAAATAAATAAATAAATAAATAATAAGGATTCCTGGGGCACTCCAAAAGGAACAGGAAACATGAATGGCAAGCAAGAAGGGCTTCATAGTAGAGGGAAAGGCTTCATAGTAGAGGGCAAGGAACCAAGTGGATTATCCAAGTTGAGTGTGGAGGATAAAGGGTAGGGAAAACAAGCCTTAAATCAAAATGTAAGAGATTAGCCGAAGCCGGTTTGGCTCAGTGGTAGAGCATCGGTCTGCGGACTGAAAGGTCCCAGGTTCGATTCCGGTCAAGGGCATGTACATTGGTTGCGGGCACATCCCCGGTAGGGGGTGTGCAAGAGGCAGCTAGTCGATGTTTCTCTCTCATTGATGTTTCTAGCTCTCTATCTCTCTCCCTTCCTCTCTGTAAAAAATCAATTAAATATATTAAAAATTAAAAAAAAAAATGTAAGAGATTACTAGATCTTGGTCATTTTCCCTTGGGTATTCAGAGTTGGACTTCTGCCCAAAGAGTTATTCAAGGATAAGAAGCACTGAAGGGCCAGATAATATAGTCTCTCTGATGCCTCGTTATTCAAAATGCAGGTCATGATCCATTATGGATTGTGAAATCAATTTAGTGAGCATGACAAGCTTTTTAAAAAATTAAATCATATAGGAAAAAAATAGGGTACATCACATGCACATTACTCTGCCTCATAGTAACCAACTTAATATTTCATAAAAATTAAATTTAAATTATTTAATTTTGGGATTATATGCTTAAATTCCAAACTAAAACTTGTTAGCAATTTTAGTTATATTTTTCTTTTTCAAATAACAAAATAGTATTCTTTACTTCCTTCAAGAATCACTGTCAATAATTATATCAAGTGATACAATACGTGTACTTCAATGCTACATAAAATAAAAACCTTTAAAAATATTTATGAGCCCTAACAGGTTTGACTCATGGATAGAGTGTCGGCCTGCGGACTGAAAGTTCCCAGGTTTGAGTCCAGTCAAGGGCAAGTACCATGGTTGCAGGCACGTACCCCATAGGGAGTATGCAGGAGGCAGCTGATCAATGTTTCTCTCTCATTGATGTTTCAAACTCTATATCCCTCTCCCTTCTTCTCTGTAATAAATCAATAAAATATATTTTTTTAAATTTATGAAATTAGCCAATTACACATGTAACAATTCTATCAACCTGCTAACCTCAAATTTTATGTGTAGTAACAGCAAAATAGATATACTGTATTTTATAAGGAAATACTTTAATGCATTAAAATAGTTTAAATTTCTAAATCCCTTACAAAGAAATTTGATAAATCAATAACATTTCTAACAAAACATATGAGCAGTCAGTTGCCAGTAAGTCTCTTAAAAAATTACTTGACCATGATCTCAGAACAAAATTTATTTTCTTTTTTAAGGAACAGAAAAAATTCTGCATTTAAAATAAAAAGGTTGTATTATATATACAGATTACCTATACTGACCCACGTGTTTATCAGGGAAAACTGAGTAAAAGGTTCCTTTCTGTTCTAAAATGACTAAGTCTAAAGTTTTTCCTTTTAGTTTAATGGACATAAGAACCCTAGTTTGCAGTGTAAATTTTAAAAGAAAAGGTAGTAATGACATATTTCAAAGCCTTTGAAATCTCTATTATCACATTTGTACAACAATAATATTTCAATCTATTCCTCTGAAGCATTTGTAAAAAGCTAAGAATAAATATCATTGTCTCTGTCTGCAGGTTCCCCCCCGAGGACGCGGGAGCTTCCGTGCCTGTGCTCTGCCAGCTCAGGAAGAAGAGTATCTGCAGAGACTTGGTCTGAACCCTCTGTCTTCTTCTGATTGAAACTGTTGGAGACTGGTTTCAAGCAGAGAGGATGGCTGGGGCAGGACTCCAAGTCATACTCAACATGATGACCAAATTTGGGAAATAGAAGTACTCTTGATCAGGTACACATTAAGTACTGAACTCCAACTTTTATTTCAGCTTCTAGTACTTACTCAAGGAGGATCCATGTAGAACTGCACAGTTGGGACAGTGATACAAGTCAATGTCAACAGCATGATGTTCTTCTACTCCAACACAGCTAAGGTAAAGAAAATAAAGCCAATAGGTAAGTAAGTTTAAAATCTTTACTTAACTGTATTTAGACTGGTTGGAATTTACCTGAGAAATGTACACCAACTCACCAATAAATTTTGTAGAATACATGCAAGGATAAATTTTATTCTCACCCCTACACACTTGCTAAATAATTGTGGGAGAGAATATATGCAAATACATGGGAAGTGAGTTACTATTAGCAGCAGTAGAGACATTAAAAGTAATGCAATTATAAGCCATCAGACCTTCAACCATTATGTAAGTGCCAATTGTTATGATATAGTTGTGCTCCCCCCAACTATACCAGCAGAAACTGTAACCCTCCAGTCCAGCTGTATTTATTTGGAGATAAAGCCTCTAAGGCAGTGGTCGGCAAACTCATTGGTCAACAGAGCCAAATATCAACAGTACGATGATGGAAATTTCCTTTGAGAGCCAAATTTTTTAAACTTAAACTTTTCCTAACACCACTTCTTCAAAATAGACTTGCCCAGGCCGTGGTATTTCGTGGAAGAGCCACACTCAAGGGGCCAAAGAGCCTCATGTGGCTTGCAAGCCGCAGTTTGCCGACCATGGCTTTAAGGGAAGTAATTACTGTTAAATGAGGGCATAGGGTTGGGCCTTGATCCCATAGGACCAGTGTTCTTATAAGAGAATCTGAAAGCAAATTTTTTAAGAATCATTTTCAACCTTTCTTTCATTTCCCCCACTATTTATTTCTCTTATGAAACTATCCTTCGTATTCAAAACACCTCCTTTTTCCTAACAGCAAAATGCTCAATGTTTATTAGGTGTGTGTGTGTGTGCGTGTGTGTGTGCATGTGTGTGTTTTGTGTAGAGGGCAGGGTTTCCTACAGGGTTGCCAATCTGACCTTTGCTAAACAGCTTCCATCAATAGCCTCACTGCCATCCAGTACATAAAGAAGTGACAACTTTAGCACTTTCTATTGTCTTAAATCGTCTGAAATTGTTGCTTAGCTGGCATTTTTTTGACACTTGATAAGAACACAATTGAATTAATGACTAACCAGAATACCCTATGATCTGCCAAACATTCTTTTTCCTTCTCAGATAATGCTCTCATTTATATTCTTTACTCTTGGTGTTAGAAGAGTGGGTAGCCATCTTTAAGACCTTCCTGTCAGTGGACTCCACTCTTGCTTCAAATGCTCTCCCCATTCGTATTCAACCATTCTTGTCAACTCAAATTCCTCCTCCAGCAAAACTACACTGGCTCTCCTCCAAGAAAGCCCTTCAACATTTTTTGGATGTCCATTTCCATTCATTTATGCCTAATCTTGAGCTATTTTATATACCACATTTCTGGAATTGAGCTCAAGATCTCTCTCAGTACCAAGTACAGTGCCCCTCAACACAATGACCCCCGGTAAATTTCTGTTGATTAACAGTGCTGAAAACTTATTTGACTACAGGTATGTTGTGGTAAAGGTATAAGCAATGTTTTTAAAAGTCTATTCAGCTTGAATTTTGTAAGAATTTGAAATAGGAACAGTTGGTAAAAAGAGAAAGGTCTTTCAACATATAAATTAGATATTTTTCATCTTTTCTTAGAAGGGTGTAGAAATAAAATTCATTCATTTTAAATTTTGTTTTAGTACAGTTTTCACCTATGTATCAAAAGTTCATCTTCTTGCTCAAAGCACCAAACTATTCGATTTCCTAGTAATGAAAAGACTGAGTCACTCTGTGACCTCCAAAGGCCCACACTAACATTATCAATGGGGTGGGAAGTGGCCTTTGAGGTGAATTAACTCCAGGAATATAGACAGCTGACAAACTGCTGTTCATATATCCTATCACTGAACTCTAGATTCAGTCACGCACATGTGTCAAACACAAGGCCTGCGGGCCAAATCCGTCCCGCCAGGCCTTGCAATGTGGCCCGCACCGCGCTGTCATCACTGCACTCCGCTGCGTTTCCATCACAATGACAGCTTATGACTGTTCAGTAAACCATTCGGCCCGCGAGTTAGGCTGGATTTTAGATTTTGGCCCCTTCTCTGATTGAGTTCGACACCCCTAAGTTAAGGTCTAAGATAGCGATACACCAGGCAAGGCCTACCCAGCATTGTTTCAGTTAAAAAGTGACAGTTGGGCCGAAGCCAGTTTGGCTCAGTGGTCTGCGGACTGAAAGGTCCCAGGTTCGATTCCGGTCAAGGGCACGTACATTGGTTGCGGGCACATCCCCAGTGGGGGGTGTGCAAGAGGCGGCTGGTCAATGTTTCTCTCTCATCGGCGTTTCTAGCTCTCTATCTCTCTCCCTTTCTCCTCTCTGTGAAATATCAATAATATATATATATATATATATATATATATATATATATATATATATTTTTTTTTTTTTTTTTTTTTTTTTTTAAAGTGTCAGTTGGCTTCAGTGAGATGTGTATATTTTGGAACTAGAAGGCTTGGTTTGATTTCTAGCTCCACTAGTTTTGACTTTGAGCAAATTTCTTAATCTCCCTGAGCAGGACTTCCCCTAGGATTAACTGGGGCAAGAAATGTAAATATATAAAGCACAGGGGTTGGCAAAGTAAATATATTAAATTAGAGGCCCAGTGCACAAAATTCATGCATGGGGCCCGGAAGGGGGGTATCCCTCTGACCAGCCTGCACCCTCTCCAACCTGGGACCCCTCTAGGGATGTCCAACTGCCCGTTTAGGCCCAATCTCAGTGGGACATCCCTCTCACAATCCAGGACTACTGGCTCCCAAGTGCTCACTTGCCTGCCTTCCTGATTGCCCCTAACCGCTTCTGCCTGCCAGCCTGATCACCCCCTAACCACTTCCTGCCAGCCTGATTGATGTCTAACTGCTCCCCTGCCAGCCTGTTTGACCCCAGCTTCCCTCCTCTGCCAGCCTGGTCAGCCCTAACTATCCTCCCCTGCAGGGCTGATTGCCTCCAACTGCCCTCCCTTGCAAGTCTGGTGCCTCCCAACTGCCCTCCCCTGCTGGCCATCTTGTGGCAGCCATCTTGTGTCCACATAGGGGCAGACATCTTTGACCACATGGGGGCAGCCATATTGTGTTAGAGTGATGGTCAATCTGCATATTACTATTTTATTAGATAGTATAGAGGCCTGGTGCATGGGTGAGGGCCAGCTGGTTTGCCCCTAAAGGGTGTCCTGGATCAGGTGGGGGTTTCCTTGGGGCATGGGGCAGACTGGTTGAGTGGTGTGTGGTGGTTTGCAGGCCAGCCACATCCCCTGGCGACCCAAGCGGAGGCCCTGATATCTGTAATTTATTTACCTTCTATAATTGTAACTTTGTAGCCTGGAGTGGAGCCAAGCCTCCTGCTCGCTCCATGGCCAGCAGCCATTTCTGTTTGGATTTGTTTACCTTCTATAACTGAAACTCTGTAGCCTTGAGTGGAGGCCTAGGTCAACAAGGGCAGGCGGAAAGCTTGGCTTCCTCCGTTGCCTGGGAAATCCAAGCCTCCCTCCTGCTCTCTGTGGCCATAGCCATCTTGGTTGGGTTTATTTGCATACTCACTCTGATTGGCTGGTGGGCATGGCTAGTAGGTGTAGCAGAGTGATGGTCAATTTGCATTTTACTCTTTTATTAGGTAGGATAATAAATAGCAGCCATTACTATTATCATGTTTCTATTACGAACCAGTCACAGGTCCTATAGCTCTGAGCTTATTACCTATAAGATAAGAGATCTGAGGTTCAGCAGGAAACTTGGCTTTATAATTAAGCTTAATATTTTTTCTTCTGTGAGAAAATTTTGTTTTCCAGAGAACACTTAAGTAGATATCCAAATGATCATTCTTTAAGGAGAAAAAGGGGAATTTTTCAATTTTTAATTAATTTTTGATGTTTGAGTTCCTTGGAATCAGTCTGCCTATGCACACTCCATCCCCAGTGTGCAGGAGACAGCCAATCAATTATTCTCATCATTGATGTTTCTATCTCCCCCTCTCTGAAATAAGAACATCATATTTTTTAAAAAGAAATTTAAATAAATAAACATAAAATGCTAGAACAACAGTTTTGCTAGTCCAAAGACCTATTTTCCACCCCAGTGTTGGCTTAATAGGTTGATATTCCTACTGAAAGTACTAGGATGCCAGCAGGCATTTTCACCTTTAAATAATATTTATGTAGTGTTTTAACCCTGAGATACTTTATTATCAGAGAGCAGTTAAAGTAAAAATTTATAATTTGCATATCTTAAATATTTTCAATGAAAATCAAACTAATGACATGATTATGTCGGTAGTTCAGGAAGAACTCAACTTCTGTTATTTTCATGCTGACACATAAAATTGTTTTCACAAAATTAAGTGCTTTTCTTTATAAGTTGGATATAGCAGAGTTCTATCTTGGAGAAGATTTCATATTTGATACATTAAAGCTATTTATTGCTATATTATGTGCTTAACTATATTTAACAAGGGTTTTGAATGAAGTACAGACTCTGAATCAAATTTCTTCAATTCATAATAATTTTAGAAAATTAGACATTTTTCCCGACTCCAACAGCTGACTCAAGCTTCCAACTGTCCCAGGGTTTCCTGAGCTATTTCCAACCAGCTGACTATGAACATTTATGCTAATAAGGGTGAAGGAGGAAGACAATAAAACAAGGAATTGAACAAAGAACATGAGAGTAAACTAAGGAGAAACTGAAGATTCAATAATCGGAGTGCTCTCTGTACAAAATGCACCCCTTTTTATAAAGCTGGAAATCCTGCTGACAAGCTTCTAATTAAATTTGAAATAGAGGACACCAAGCTTACGCAAGCAGGCCATCAGTGGGGGTCAGTTGGGGGTGATCAGGCCGTCAGGGGGGCAGTTGGGGACAAGCAGGCCAGCGGGAGGGCAGGTGGGGCTGGCAGGCAAAGTGGTTAGAGGTGATCAGGCAGGCAGGGAGGTGAACTATGAGGAGTCAGTGGTCCCAGACTGCGAGAGGGATGTCCGACTGCCAGTTTAGGCCTGTGGGATCGGGCCTAAACAGGCAGTTGGACATCTTGAGGGTTCCCAGATTAGAGAGGGTTTAGGCCAGGCTGAGGAATACTGCTCCCCCCTCTCTCCCCGCACGAATTTCGTGCACCAGGCCACTAGTTCATAATAAATATTCCTACATGAAATTATACAGATTACCAAGAAGGTCTCAAAGAACTTCAATTCAATTACAAATCAGTATTCATGGGTAGTATTGAGTTGCCCAGAAAAGGTCAACCACAAACAATGGATTATTCTATTCTAAATCATACAAGTAAAGAAAAAAACATACCATGCATACTATGTAAGAAGGACTTATATCTTCTATTCACACATACATTAAAAATCTATGTTTTTACCAAGAATGACTTATTATAAGTTCCTCAAAGTCCATTTTGTAATTCTTCTTCATTTCCACTAGAGGTCAGATGATAGATGATTGGCAAATATAAGAATATAGGCAGTCCTCGCTTAGCATGGTAGTACAGAAGCATAACAATAATCATGCAAGTTAAAACTATACGAAGCTATCTCAATAACCAATGGGAAAATTACATTGTTTACTGACCTTTAAAAATGTTTGTCAAAACATTAAAAAAAAAAAAAAACCTCTTACTGTCAGTTATAATATATAAAAAAGTGAAAAATAGCCGGGACCGGTTTAGCTCAATGGATAGAGCGTCGGCTTGGGGACTGAAGGGACCCGGGTTCGATTCCAGTCAAGGGCATGTACCTTGGTTGCGGGCATATCCCCAGTAGGGGGTGTGCAAGAGGCAACTGATCGATGACTCTCTCTCATCGATGTTTCTAATTCTCTATCTCTCTCCCTTCCTCTCTGTACAAAATCAATAAAATATATTTTAAAAAAAGAAAAAAAAAGAAAAATAGTACAACTGGTATTTATATCATTTAAGCACCTTCACTGAGTGCCTCTGGCTGCGGCTCCAGAGTCTAGCGAAAGGCTCTATGTCAACACTGCTACTGGGAGTCATTATTCCACTTAGGCTCAATAGGCTCAATTTAGATTTCACTTCCAGAATCACCACTTTTTGTTTCTTTGCTGCACTTTCATCTTTATTGGCCACTTCCCTCTTTTGATTATCCTGTTTGTAAAATGTCATGTGAGTTTATACTGGGAGACCAGGAGGCAGCACAGGACACGCTTTCCTGTCTGTGTGTGAACTGAGGAACAGATAGGCACATGTTATTAACACACTGATTTGCTGATCTGCATACTGAAGAGTTAGCAGCCAACTTTGTACTTTATGAAGTTAATATATCATGGTGACTAAAATCTGAATCTTGTTATCGGGGGACTAGTGTCATTTAACTAAATCATATGATATTGTGACATACTAAGAAATATGTTTGGTCTTCATCTCTGGTTTCTGGCAAAAGAGTGCCTATAACCCTTGTAATTACCTGAGTGACAGTGTGAAAGACACATCTCTTATTTTTCAACCACAACAAGCCCCTTTCAACCACACCTGAGTGCATGCTAATACAGTGCACTAAGTGGGCTCCCAGATAACTTCAGGATGGGGGTTGGTTGCCAGAGGAACCAACCAGGTGATTAGAGGGTTAGAACTTCCCACCCCAGCACCCTAACCTTTGAGTGGGGTGTAGGGCTAGGGGTTGAATTAATCACCAATAGTCAATGATTTGATCAATCGTGCAGGAGTTCAGAGTGCTTCCGGGTTGGTGAATGCATCCATGTGGCAGGAAGGGACAAACCTAAAGGGACAGAAGCCCCTGTACGTGGGACCCTGTAGGACTCGACTTTGTACCTCCCTCTTTATCTGGCAGGTCATTTGTAACCTTTATAATAGCAAGTAGTGTGTTTCCTTAGATTCTGTGAGCCATTACAGCAAATTATCAAACCTGAAGGGGGAATCAGGGCAGCTACAATTTGTAGCCTAGTCAGGAAAAAAAAAAGTGTAGGCAACCTAGAAACCCACCATTTGCCACAGGTGTCTAAAGTAGGGGCAAACCGGGACTGAGCTCTTAACCTGTGAGGTCTGCACTAACTCCGACAATAAGTGTCACAGATGAATTATAATAAAATTGTAGGACACCCAGTTGGCATTACAGAGAACTGGATTATTGCTTGGCATAGCAAATCCACACATTTGGTATCATGAGTGCTATAAGCAGACACAGTATTCCCTTGCATGGTAATTAAAATCTGTGCATATTAGAACTGTGCTAAGTGAGACTGCTATATAACACTAGAGGCCCAGTGCATGAAATTCGTGCATGGGTAGGGTCCCTAGACCTGGCCAGCTATCAGGAACAATCAGGGCCCTCCAGCTGCTGGCAAGGCCTCCCTTCCTTGGCTGCCAGCTGCCAGCTGGGGCCTTCCTTCATTCCATGCCACCCCCCGGTTGTCAGCACACATCATAGCAAGAGATCGAACTCGCAGTCTCCCAGTAGAACTCCCGAGGGTACAATTTACATATTAGGCTTTTATATATAGATTCTCTAAAAGAGCTTTTTAAAACTACTCCACAGGAGTTAAGATTATCCAAAAGACTGAGAGATGCTGGGCTGAGATGAAATCACTTTAGGTTCCAGCTGGACTTCTCAGAGAATTCAACAAGCTGGGAATCTAGCCCAAGTGTTAAATACAACAATTCATCTCAGATTTTTTTTTTTATGAAACACTATGGGGCGATTATATTCCACCTTGGGAACATGTTTTAGAAGTTAATTTTCAGACTCACCAGCTGTGAAAAGTTTATTACAAATTTAATGTTTCTATAATTACAATTGTGATGATTTTATAATTTAAATTTACAAAATTTAAAAAAGTCTTACAATTTAAAAATTGATAGAAAGTACCAGTAAGTCAAGAATATTGTAAAACCACTCCCTTAACAATGTAGGATACCAAGTTAGTGACAGCAGTACCAAGCATTTACTGCATACATTATTGGAATACATATAAGTAAAAGAAGTCAATAACTGAAAACACACTAAAACTTTTTAAGCTTTTTTTTTTAACCTATCAATGATGCTTGTCTCAGATTTCCCTTATCATGATATACCTATAGGGCACAACTACCTATAGGGCACTGACTAGGCTCAAGCCTAAAGACTGAGCACCCTTACATTAAAGAGCTGACACTGTCATAATACATAGTCTCAAAGAGAAGCACCATGTCCTTACATCAACCATATGATTATTGTCTTCTGTGTAAAATTGTCTATCACCCAGCACTATCCTTACTCACCAGGCAAGCTTCAGTCCTACAGTAAGAATTCAAAGCCACTAACATCATAAGCACTCTAATTTCAAAGATTTTAACCTTGCCCACCAGACCTATTTAAGTGATAATTACAAAACCCATTCTGAACAATGTGCCTCCATTCTTGACTAGGCCCACCCTATTGTCACCAATGTCTCAGGATGATAGAGTGGGCAATTTAAGAAGGTCTGTTGTCTGGCTCCCCTCTGAAATCTTAAGCCTGTCTCTCTTTTAGAAAACACAGATTAGAAAGAGCAGTGGGGGCTGGTCATGTAGATCAGTTGTCATCAACTGGTGGATCATGAGGTCCAAAAGGTTGGTAACTGCTGAAGTAGATCACAGACAGCAAGAAAGTGTAGCAAGGAAAAAGATGAAATACTATCCATAAACCTCCACATGCACAAACCATCCAACGTGTGCCAATAGCCCAATACAGCATAGAAAACTAAGGTCCGTGGTACTTAGTCACCAAAATTAAATAGTGTAGTATTCTATTACGAAGAGTATAATGTACCTGTCAAAATACATCTAAAAATAGTTGACATAAAAAGGATTTTATCTCCTGAGTAACTTTTCTGAGGATACTCAGCCATATTTCAAAAGTAGGACCTTCAGTTACAGGAAAGTCTTATTTAAGTAGACCTCATCATATCATTCCCCAAAGATGGTAAAGTGGTTGCTGTTTTTACACGCTAATTAATCTGGGAAATGTTAACACTTCACTGCAAATGTTCCCATGCTAAAAGTTACTTACTATGAAATGTTCCCAATTGGGGGGAGGGGCATTTTAAAAAAGGAGGGGAAAAATAAAACAGCACCAGTTTCAAATTAAAATAATATCACACACATGCTTCAAGGCAAGACATCTTTTCAAGGTAGCAAAACTAGAAAATGGCTCTATGAGGTAAGTAAGCAGCTTTTAGAGTCATGTTCCCAATGTGTCTGCATAGACTTAGTATAAGTAAATGAAAGCACACTTATGACACAGACATTAATACATAAATATGACTATCATGTAAAAATGTTATCTGCTATTTAATAAATGGAATCCAAACTCTACTTTCAAATCCATTCTCTCTCACTTAGAACCTTTCTTCTCATTAATAAATTTCCACTGGTTGAGGCTGGAGTCTCCCAGCAGCAGATCCTGACACACAAATCTGAGTGCAGGTGCTCTTATGTGACCACGGAAGCACTGGTAGAGGAGTGTAAACCTGAGACAGGGAAGGGGAGGAGGCCACAGCATAGTCCCACCAAGGAAGAGGTGTTTATCCACTATCTCCCAATAGACAATGATTTTTAGCAAAAAAGTTTTCAAGAGATAAAGACAGATCGAACAGATGGAAACAAGAGAGCCAGGGGATAGGGACAGGGATCCTACAGAGCCTGCTCATACGTAAAATTCTATCTAAACAAACTAATAATGCATACTCACTTAACTTGTTCATTCTTTATACACATTGTTCACCATAACATTCACTCCATTATTCTCTCCATTATTCCTCCATCCTCTCCAGGATAAATATACAGATATTATATAATAAAGTTGTCCAGCTGGCATGGCTCAGTGATTAAGAGTCAACCTATCCTGGTTAAGGTTTGATTCCCGGTCAGAGCATATGCCTGGGTTGTGGGCTCAATCCCCAGTGAGGGGCATGCAGGAGGCAGCCAATCAATGATTCTCTCTTATCATTGATATTTCTATCTCTCTCCCTCTCATTCCTCTCTGAAATCAATAAAAATATTTTAAAAATAAAGTTATTATAGGTAAATAGGTATAACTTAAGTAAATAATACTATATAATATTAATATTTAACATTTAGCTCCTGAACAAAGATTAAAGACAAAATTGTCCAACGTAAAAAATAAACAACTGATCTATACAGGAGAGAACCACATTACTGGACCTCAGTAAATCTCCAGGAGAAAAACAATCAGTTCCACATTAGATTGATGGGTTTTCAAGACACATTTTGTCTCGCCACTGAGGGCAGCCTCAGCTCAGCTGAACTATGGTAGGCTGAGCCAGCATGAATCTCTTGTAAGACTGGACCATTCATTCTGCAGAAGAATAAATGGAACAGGTGGAAAGAGGGCAATATTTTAGACAAAAGGGATTAAGTTATTTTAGCTATCTTAAGAGACTTTCCACAGAGAAAGGAGCACTTCAGGAACAAATTTTAAATGAAGGAAGACAAAATCATGGTGATGATGAGGGAATTTCCAGAGACTTTTCTTAAGAGGAAAGTGTTACACTAAATTACACTTATGTATCACAGGGTAGGAGGGAGGTGCAGAGGGAGGGTAGAAAAGGTGGTGTAGAGGGGGTAATGGGCAAGGACAACGAAAGGCTAGCAAGTAAAAGAGATTAGGTCAGGTGGCTCTTCCTGAAAGTAGGGGAAAGAAATACTAGCAGGTCTGGAGGTGCAGGCCATATCACTTTAATAGTTTAGCAAGTGGACACATACTAGTACAGTTGGCAATTACCTACTTAAAACTAGAGCTCAGATCTACAAGGGAGATAAAAATTTAGGAATCATCCACATGCAGATGACAGCTGAAGTCATGGGATCAGATAAATGCTAGAAAAAGAGATCTATTGAAGACTGAACCCTGGGGTACTCCCGTGTTAAAAGATCTGGGAGACAGGAAGGACTGTGATGAGGACTCTGAAGGAGAAGTGAAGCGGTAGAAAAAGCAGCCTGGGGATTTCCTAGAAGACAAAGAAGGTGAAACGCATTGATAACTTTGACAAGAGCTGTGTCATGGGTCATAAAGATAAAAGCCCGATTCCACTGGGTTCAGACGGAATGGGACCTCAGTTAGAAAAAAGAGGGGAAAACAAACCCAAACAATTGAAGATAGCAAATACGGGCACTTTTTAAAATAAGTTTTGCTATAAAGGAAACAAAGAAATAGGGTTGCATCTGAAGGGGAGATATCAGGTCAAGAAAGTTGGGGGGTTTTGTGTTTTTTTAATAAAGGTTCTATACTATTTGCACACTAAATGGGGAGTGGGGAATGATATGGAGAGGAGGGGAGTAACTGTTGGAGCATGTCCTTGAATAGGTGAAAGGGGATGAGATCTAATATAACTAACGGTAATTTCCAAACACTTTGCAGTTTCCTTTTCTTTCTGAAATTACATTCAGAAATTTCCTAAATCTGAAAATAGACCTTTCCATACTAGTAAGCAAATTCTGGCAACTGTAGCTCACACAAAAATGGCTGAATGCAAGATGTATAGCACTGACACTTCAAAAACAATGGCTAGAATAAAAAGTTATAAAGGGAAAATTTGTCATTTAGTTCAAGAATATATGCTATTTTGTCAAAACAGATACGCTACCTTTACTCATTTAAGGATCCCTTCTTTTCAGTGAGTGTAATATTAGTTAATGAATAATATTTAATATTTAACTCCTGAACAAAGGTTAAAGACAAAATTGTCCAACTTGATGAGGAGTTCCACAAGTGATTTGTGTGCAAACCTTCTAGTTACCTTTTTATTGATCTAGTTCAAGGTCGACCAAAGTGTAGAGTTATGTATACCTGGAGGGATAGATGACATGCAGGCTTGGAGCCTGCTAGGAAGACAATACATCTGAGAAGCTGATCTTCTAGCCATAAAAATTGAGGAATGTGCTGAGTTGTGAGTAGTTACACTGCTGGGCAGGCAAGGTCACCACTGAAACAGAGAGGAACCCAGAGGATCCAGTACCTGAGGGATCCAGTCCTCCGAGGGCACTATGAGGGCACTATCATTGGCAGCAGGGTCTATTTATGAGAACTGACGGCCAGGGCAGCTGGCCCTGCCAATAGGACAGACTGCTGGGCCTCCTGCTTTGTAGAGCCATTCTCATCGGGTTAAGTCCTTTAATCCTTTACACTTCCTTTAGAGAAACCTTTATGCCTTCCCTGAGTCTGTTAGTGTCCTTTCATCAACCACCAGCACCCTTCTGACACCTTACTCATGCACATTTTATATGATAAACACTCTTTAATTCAATAAATATCTTTCTTACAAATATTAAAAAATGTATTGAGCATCACAAACACATGACTTAACAGATACCTTTGTTTAGGACAAAACTAAATTTCAAACACTAAAATCCTTTTAGATATGGCAGAAGTTGTGATGGTAGTCAAAGAAAGCCTGAAATGTGACAGTGATAATGAAATAAAAAGTCACTGATGTGGTTGGTGGAGAGGAGGGGAGAGCAAAGGAGGAAAAGTCACCCATCTCCTAACATCACTTAATCTTAAAGTCCTAAGAAGCTTGTACTGTCTTTTTCTGTTCTGTCCAAGAAAAAAAAAAAAAAAAAAAAAAAAAAAAAAAAAGAAGAAGAAGAAAAAAAACCTCAGAGCAGTGAAGCTGGTGAATGAACCAGGGGTGCAAGGGCCAGGAGAAAGGCTGAGAGCAAGCCGGGCGACTGGCAGGAGGTGAGTGGAGCTCCAACAAAGTGATGCTGAAGGAAAGAGCTGTATGAAAGACTTCAGAGCTTTCAGAGGATACTCGATTCCAATAAGAGTTAAGAAGTGAGAAAACTGAGAAAGCAAGTTCAGTTCAGAAGATCTGATCTCTCTTGCCACAGGCTGGATGCCCATAAAGGCAGAGGCAGGAACAGGAAAATTAGGAGAGCAGAGTCTAGCGCTGACTACTTGGCACTTGGATGGTTGGAAAACCTGGTTTATGGAAAGAAGTCCCTGAATCAAAGAGAAGGGCCTCTGCTCTCTCAGTAACCATGGGATCTAAGGAAATGTTGATCATATGACAGAAAATAACACAGTCCAACAAGAAAGGGAAAATAACTCCAAGAACCAGGCATAAAGAAAATTAACCTTAAAAATGTACTGGGATAAGAAGAATGCAAGAGTGGAAGATGAGTCAGACCTGTAATAAGTCAAATTAAGCACAGACTACAATTCCTCTAATTTGTAGATAGTTTATACATACCCCAAGATTCCTTCGTAGTCAAGAAAAAAGGACTGACCACATGTCTAACATGTGGCGTGTGTGACAGATGATTCTCTGACATCACTGATGTTTCTATCTCTCCCCCTCTCCCTTCCTCACTGAAATCAATAAAATATGTTTAAAAATAAATAAATAAGTAAATAAATAATCAATGTCTTTTTTAAGTGTTTCTAGATATTGCCAAATCCCATCTAGTTGAGAACCACTGCTACAGAATAAGAGATTTCCAAGACATATCAGCTAATCACTATGTACAGACCTTAACTGGATCTTGATTCAAACAAATAGAAAAAAAAGTTATAACTTCATACAATTGGAGAGAGAAAATAAATGAAAAAAGAAAAAAAGAAACAGTTGGAAATTTGAACAGTGAATATTTGATGTTATTATGGTCATGATAATCACTGAAGCAGAGTGATAGTTCCCAAGGAGCACATTGTACTATCTGTGTACTTTCATATGTTTTAAATTTTCTCTAAAAACAACAAAAATTAAAGTCAATACCATTTTAGTAGCTAGCAGCATTCAGTTTAATGACAAAATAACCCAATAACTGAATCTTGAGAACATTCAACTGATTTCCACTAACTATCCCATGTACACTTGCTCATGTACACGTACTAGAAGAGATTCTCAAAACAAAATCCATTTTAAAAGGAAAATAATCACTGTCTTTTTAAAAGACAAATGAAAGTGTACTCCCAGGACACCTTAAATCCCTGCGGTTCACAAAACACAAGTTAGGAAATGCTGCTTTGGAGAAATTCCTAGATCATGAATGCATTAGAGATTCCTATTACTATATTCACTTACTTGCTCAGTGTTTGTTCCTCCATGTTTCTTATATTTGTCAATTTTATTTTACTAAATACTACCAAAGGCAGTGGTATTTTCAAATTTCGATACAGAATTATATTTTTAAATTTAGGTACAATGCATCACTAAAATACAACTTAAATATCTAATAGTGCAGAGTATTTTTCCATGAGGCTGCTCTTCTTAGAGCTAATAAAGTATACTTAAAAACACATTATATGCCAACAACCACATGATTTCACTCATATGTGGGATATAAAACAGAAAGCAAAAAAAACAAAAACTCAATAGACACAGCAACAATATCATATGGTGGTTACCAGAGGCAAAAGGGAATGGGGAGGAGGCAGAAGAGGGTAAAAGGGTCAAATATATAGAGAGTGACAGGAAGAGACTTGACTTTAGGTGGTGAACACACAATACAATATACAGTTAATGTATTATACAACTGTATACTTGAAACCTATATAATCTTAATAACCAACACTACTCCAAAAAAAAAATTTAATAAAATTTTAAAAATACGTTATATGCATAGGAACATATCTTAGGAAATAAGCTTATGGTTCCCCATAGATGCTTAAGAAGTCTTTGGCACAATTCAACAACTATTCATGATAAATACTTTTAAAAAAGAATTGAGGGTTACTTTCTTAATATGATAAGAAGTCTAAAACTACTATCTTACTTAAGTAAGGAAACATTAGAGGTATTTCCACTAAAGTCAGGAACAAAGTAAGGATATTCACAATCTCCCACACTATTCAACATTGTACTACTGGTATTAGCATATTCATCACAGCATTGTTTTTAATTGCAAAATACTACAACCTAAATGCCTATACATGGAAAAAAGATGAATAAAACAAGCTACATATTATATAGGTGTTAAAAAGAATAAGGAAGTACTCTGAACTAACATGGAGTGGTTTCCACTATATGCTATTAAGTGACAAAATGAAGTGTATTCATCAAAAGCTACTCTTCCTCTGAAGAAAGCAGATATAAGGAAAAAAACACTTGCATCTGCTCATTTGTGGGAAAACACACCAAAAACACCATACAGAAAGGTAGAAAGTTTAGATTACTTAAGCCAGAAAGTATAGATTACTTACAGGATGGAGGTGAAAAAGGGATGGAAAGGCGTAGGAGGGGTCAAGAGGGCATGATGCTTCTGAGTATACCTTTTCATGTAACTCTGACTTCTTAGAATGATAGTAATGTTTTACATATTCAAAATATAAACTAACAATTAAAACCAACCAGGATGTGGGAGGACTCCAAAATGCAACACAAAAGAAGTAGGTAACCTAACTTTGGAAAATGATTTGACTAAGTATTATAAGGCTAACGACAAAAAGAATTTTTCCTCATTAAGGAAAAATGTATCTAAAATAAATTTCAAAATTCATTCTCATCCTTAATTAAAAAATCAAAACTCAATAAGAAATCCATCACAAGATGAAAACAGAGTTAAATTATAAAATATTTCAAATATACATTTTATGAATACTGTTCCCAAGGCATTTATGATCATTAAGATATAGATAATTTTATTTTATTTTTTTAAATATATTTTATTGAGTTTTTTACAGAGAGGAAGAGAAAGGGATAGAGAGCTAGAAACATCGATGAGAGAGAAGCATCTATCAGCTGCCTCCTACACACCCCCCAATTGGGATGTGCCCACAACCAAGATACATGCCCTTGACCAGAATCGAACCCGCTCCTTTCAGTCCGCAGGCCGATGCTCTATCCACTGAGCCAAACCGGTTTCGGCAAGATATAGATAATTTTAATAAAAAACAAAAACACTGGGGCAGGGGGCGGGTTAGAAGAGGTCAATGGGGGAAAAGAGGGACATATGTAAAACTTTCAATAATAAAGATGGGGGGGGGCAAAAATAAATAAATAAATAAAATTAAAAAGAACAAAAACAAACATGTTTATAGATATCTCTCTGGGATCCTGCTGTACCTGTTCCACCTATGTGTCTACCTGTACTCCCAGGAAAGAAACTAACAAGGAGGAAGAGAGCCATTATCACCTGCTAGTTGAGAGCCTGCCGCTCTGAGGTTAGTCCACCTGAGTTCAGGTGGTGGTTCTATGACCTTTTCTAGCTTCGTGACCCTGGGAAAGTAACTGACCCTCTCTAACCCTCAGATTCTTCATCTGTAAAATGGGGATAACAATAACTTATCCAGCAAGGTGACTATGAGATTTAGATGACTTAATACATATAACGCATTTAGAAGAGTGATTACTAACTCTTGGTATAAAAAGCATTTAATAAATGTTTGACTGAGTTCCTGGGACTTCAGAGTAAGAAACTCCTACCCAATAGCATTATTCTAGATAAAATCCTTCTATTCTCATAAACTAAGCTCTTCATTTATTCAAGCCTTAGGAAGAAAAATTAATATATGACATTTATAAATTGCCCAAACTGACTCAAACTTTTAAAATCATCTCTCACCTAGAATGTTGTTACAATAACCTTCTTACTGATCTACCTGTGAGCCTTTGCCTCCCTCCAGTCTATTCTCCACATAGCAGCCAAAGTGAACCTTCTAAAGGTTAAATCAAATCATTTACTCCTCAAAATATACCATCTGCTTTATGTAAAATCCAAAATATTCTTGTGTTCAAATGTCTCCTTAAGGCACTCCATATTCACACCATGTGAAAGTAGCCTTATACTAACCCCAGCCCTCTTTTCCTATGACACAATTTTTTTGTGTGTGTGTGTGATATACATGTTTATCTGCCCCTGCTCTCTCCAGACACACACACACACACACACACACACACACACACACACGAATGTTAAATTACAGGAGAGCAAGGACTTAGTTTTTGTTCATCGCTATATCCCCAGCACCAAGAACAGCACCCAGCAATCCCATTAAGTTAGGGCAAGAAAGAAAGTAAAATTAAAAAAATACTGTATGTCAGCTACCAAATTGGTAAACATAACTTTTTAAACAATTGAATGATTGAAATACACTTAAAGTTTAAAAAATCTTCATTGAACATACAGCTCAGTGAATTTTTACAGCTGAATCAGTCACGTAAGCACCACACAAGATCAAGATAGAGAACATTTGCTGAACCTCAGAAGCCCCTCAGGCCTTCTCTCAATCATGCCCCCAGAGGTAAGCAATAGTCTGACTTCTCTCATCTAATTATGTCTGTATTTGAACTTCATATAAGCAGAATCAAAGAGTACACACTTTTGTGTCTAGCTTCTTTTATTCAACTTTTTATCTGCGAGATTCACCCATGTTGTATGCATCGATAGTGCTTTTTTTTTTTTTAATCACTGATGAGAATTCCATTTTATAAATACACCAAAATTATCCGATCTACTATTAATGTCATTTAGGTCATTACATTTTGAGGACATTATAAATAGTGCTACCACAAATAATCTTGGGTACTTCTTTTTGGTGGGAATACTCATTTGCAGATTGACAAAGTTTTTGCTTGGCTTGGTTTTGGGGTGACAGGGTTAATAATACTTTAGATGGAAAGGATGCAGGGAACTAGAAGTGGACACTTGGTAAAAGTATAAATTGGAATAGCCTTTCTAGAGGACAATCTGGCTGTAGGCACAAAAAGCCTAAAAAGCCTACTAATTCTACTTCAAGGAATTTCTTAATGAGTACTTGCACATGTCACTTCTTTTTAGTGTTTTACGTGTATTAACTCATTTGATTTATCCTAAGGAAATAATTAGAGATATAATGGTTTATTTAAAATTATGTCAACCATTCATCCTCATTAGGAAATACAAGAAAAAGTAATAAACAAGGCAAAAAAAGAAAAAAAACTAACAAGAGGGGAATCGTTTTAAAATATATATTAAAAACTATACAGCTACTGAAAATGTTTTAAAAAAACTTTAAAGATACAGAAAAAAAAGTATATATTAATGAAAAAGGTTAGATAACAGTGAAATGCTTAAAATGAATTCCAGGTTGTTTTCAATACATACATATACCTTAAATGTTAAAATAGTGGCAATCTCTGGGAGACATGAGTACTTTCATATCCTTGATACTTTTCTATACATCCCATTTTTCTACAATATAATATATTACTTTTGCCAATCAAAATGAATATTTTGCTAAAAAGTCTAACAAACAAAGGTATTTTCAGTCTAATAGAGAGACAGAAACATTAAACTTAGGACACTGATGCAGTTTTACATAGGATGACATTAAGTGTGCTATGGAAAGACTGGGGGGAGGGGGCATGACAGGAAAGCTCATCTTACTTCCAAGGACTCAGAGAGGGAAAAGTCCATCCCCACTTCAGAAGGAACCATCCCAGGAAAATCCTGTTGATTCCTCAGCTCATGGCCCCTACTGGTATCAATTATACATCGTGTCCAGCAAGTGTTTTCCCCCTTCCCCTCACTTAAGGGAAAAAAAAAAAAAAAAAAAGGGGGGGCTTAGGCACACTAAGGGATGGGAATTCCGGATACAAAGTTCAACCTGGAGGAGGCTGGTTCCATCCACCCTACTACCTGCCTAAAAAGCATTAAGGCAGGATACTCCTTCCTTGTCAGAATAAATTAGAGCAAAAACTTTTCAGATGTCAGAAACCCCAGGCAGATTAAACCAAAATTTACATAAAAATTCACTGAGATTAAAAAATTTTACTTGAATAATAAAATTACTAAGAAATTAATTATCCAGCTGGCCCAGTCCAGTTTCTCAATGGTTAGAGCATCAGCCTAAGGATCAAAGGGTCTCAGGCTCAATTTCCAATCAAGGGCACTTAAAGTTGCCAGTACAATCCCGTCTCAGTCTGGTCAGGGCGTGCAGGAGGCAACCAATCCATCTGTCTCTCTCACATCAATGTCTCTCTCTCCCCTTCCCCTCCTCGCTCCCTTACACTCTCTCTAAAAATCAATGGAAAAAATATCCTTGGGTGAGGATTTAAAAAAAAAAAAAAAAAGGAAATTATCCAGGCAAAGGGTACCAACCCGTGTCCTCTCTCTTCCTCTTCTGCAAACAAACTACCCCAGGAAAGCTGAGCATGGAAAGGAAAGCTACACCTCAGTACCTCAGGGGCCAATTCTCACATAAGCAAGTGATATTAGTTTAATATTTAATACGTAAGGAACATTTTGCTGTGTTCAAAACAACAATCACTCATTTCATGGTACTATAAACATTAAAGTAAATATTGATCACAGGAAAAATATATAAACCTCAAATTATCAATACTTCATTAAGAATTAAACTTGGTACTAAGGTACTGCTTTTACATGGTGGAGAAGTATCATTAAGTTTTTTAATTTCTGATATCTGAACCACAGTAAATGCTCAAGAACTGCTGGTCAAAAGGTAAAAAATAAAAAATAACCTGGGTTCAAAATATAGTGCATCTCCCACCCCAAAAAAATATATACACACACTTTGAATAATTATAAAGGCAGTGTTTATTAAAATGCATTTCATTTTCAAATATTAAGATATCAGCTATTAAAGTGTGTATATATTTCAGAGTCATTTTCACAAATATGAAGTCACACAAATTTATGTGACAAATTTATGTTTTGGCCTTATTTTCTCTTCTTCATATGTGCCCTCTTTATTTTCCCTTCAACTTCTCCTGTTTTCAAATGTACACTTAAACGCATTACAAAATTCTCCACAACTTCCTGCAGTTTTTTATGATTATAGTGTTGTTACCCAAATTAAGATAAATAAAATTCTGGTCTAAAATTCATTAACCTATCAAACCTTTAAATTGCACAATAGAACAAATTTCTTATACAGCTAAAATAGATCTTTGAAAAATAAGTATTTACATAATCACCAGGGATTCTGGTTTTATTCTATGTGTCACCTAGATTTTTGGATAATCTCTACTCTGGTTGCCAGATATGTTATGAGAACAGAGGATGTAGAAATAGAATTGGCAAGATTTGGTATGTTCATATTTCAGTTTTATGTATAATCTAAATACAGAAAAATATCAATGTACAGTAATGAAAAAGAACTTTGGATAATTTATTCTTAGTTACATGTGGCAAGGTTGTAGTAATATTCCCCAAGCATAGACAAGATTGTTAAAGACTATCTGACAATATGTGGCATTTTCCTCTGGTACTGCTGTCAGAGCTGTGCAAACTGAAAACTGACTAAACAAAACTAACGGTACTTGGAAATTAAGTAAAAACGAACTGTATCCAGCACTCAGCACCTAAACGAACGCTGTAATTTAAGTGGTTTTCTCTCCCGGGGCCAGTAGAGGGAGACTAAGACATCTGGCCTGGTCGCGCAGTGTTTCTGTAATATTGGGGAGGGGAGGGGACCGGGGAGCGGGGGAGGCTGTATTTAAATGTCCTGCTGTCAATCAAAGGACACTTCCTACAATCACAGTCCCCCAAATCGGCTCCTGCCCGTGAGCGAGCGAGCTCTCGCCAAGATTCCACACCAAACGGCGCTCGGGGTGGGGGAAACCTGCTTCACCCAAGGGTGACCGCAGGCTTCCCCACAACACCCAAATAAGGACTTTGGGAGCCCAACCCCAACTAGTTTCTTTGTTTAAATGCCTGCGAGTCCCTCCCACGCCGGAGTCAAGAGGCTGTGGCGCCGCCCTTTAGGAGCCTCACACTTTGATTACAAAACACACGAGCCGGCGGCCTGGCGGCGGCGGAGGCGGCGGCCCGAGCCCTCCTCGCAAACGTCAAACCCGGGCGCGGGCGCCCGCCCCGCCGCCCGAGCCCCGGCGCCCGCGGCCGGCCAAAGTTCGCCCGCGCCAGGCCCGCGGGCGCCGGCTGGGTGTCGCCAGCCCCTCGGGGGACGGGAAATTTCACTCTTTGTAAAAAGTTTGAGCTGCGGCGCGGGGGCGACGAGAGGCTGTCTCCTCGGGCCCCGCCGCCCACTCCATCCGCTCCGCCCCCGCCGGGACGGGGTGCTCTGGGGCGCTGGGAGGGGGGCACCGTCCCAGCCGACCTGCCGCCCCGGGCGCCCGGGACCCTCGACCCCAAACTTCCGACTGGCATCTCTGAGTCCCGACAGCGGCTCATCTGTTGCTGTTTTGACTCCGCCAGCCCCGCCAGGCAGGCGCTGCCGACGCCCCCGGCCCAGCGCCCGGCCCGGGAGGGAAGTTTGATAAAAACCCGGGGAAGGGGGCGCGACGGGGACCCGCCGGGGGAGGGATCGGGGTGGTTTGTGGAGACCAGGTCCCCACCGAGAAGGAAGGCGCGGCGGCCGGCGGGGCAAGGCGGCCGGGGGGGCGGGCAGGCGGGCGACGACTCTGGGACCCGGAGTCCCGGGCGGGCGGGGCGGCGGCCGGGCTGCGGGCGCCGCGAGGGGCGGCGGGCCCGGTCGGCGCTCTGCCCGCCACCTGCGCCGGCGCCTGCCCCGGCCGCGTCCCCTCGCCCCGGCTCCCCCTGCCAACTTCGCGGCCGGTCCCCTTTGTTCCCGTTTGTTGTGGCGACTCTTCGCCTTGGCCGGGCGATCCCACCGGCCCCGCTCAGCTCGCTCGGCGCCCGGGCAGCCCGGGGCCCCGCGCGTCCCGCTTGCCCGGCCGGGGCCGGGGGGGCTCGGTGCCCGGACCGCGGGGCGCGCGGCGCGGCGGCCGGGCGGAAGGGGATGCGGGCGGCGCGGCGGCGGCGCGGCGGCGGCGGGGGGCCGGTGCCCGGCGGCGGCCGCGGCGGGGCCGGACGGGGTTTATTTACCTGCCGTGGAACCAGTCCTTGCAGATATCGCACTCGATCATGAAGCGGTTCACGTCGTACGGCTGCCGGCACACACAGTACACCGGCGGGGGCGGCGGGGGCGCCGAGGCCCGGCCCGGAGCCGCCACCGACACGGCTGCCGCGGCGGCTCCCGCTGCTGCTGCTCCCGCGGCCACCGCCGCCACCGCTCCGGCCATCTTTAAAACACACACACACGCTCGCTCGCGGCTCCGCTCGCCGACTGGAGCGAGCGCCGCCGCCAGCCAGCCAGCCAGCGCCGCCTCCTGCAGCAGCCGGAGCAGCAGCCGGGGAGGCGGCGGCGGCGGCGGCGGCGCTCAGTGCGCGCGCGCGGGGGGCGGAGGGCGCGCGCACGACGCGCGAGGCCCGGCGGCTCCTTCCGGCGCTCCCCGCGGGGCCGTGCGTCTCGCGCACGTCGTCCGGCCGCCTGCGCGCTCCGCTCCCCCGCGCCGCCGGCGGGGCGCAGGGATCGGCTGAAGAGCACGCGGGGCGGGAGGGGCGGGAGGGGCGAGCGGGGAGGAAGGCCGAGGATCTCGAAGACACGCGCGGCGGCGTGGGGCGCGTGGCCCCGGAGGGCAGCGGGCACGTGCGGAGCCCGAGTCGGCGCGCGGAGCGGGAGCGAGGCCGGGAAGTCCCTGCGCCGGGACAGCGGCACGCGCCGTGCGGTGCTCGGAGGAGGGGAACTGGGGAGGTTAGAGCCCCCGCCATGGCCCCCTCCGGACGCGGGAGACTCTTCCGTCCGTGAGCAGCCGCCCCGCCGCCTCTGCGGGCAGCGCCCAGGGCTAGGAGTACTCAGAGCTGGTTGTGCCCCGCTGGGTGCAGGAACGCGCTGGGGGCCCATCCAAACTTGGAAAGCCACCCGCCCGAATCCCCACCGACCAACCTGGACGTGGAAGTGTCGATGGAGCCTGTTGGGTGAAGGCGGTTGTTCCCAAGAGAGTTCATTAAAGTCTGTGAGTCCAGAGGGGCAGCCTCGTTGAGATGCGGTTGGTGGAGAAAGGATTGGAGAGGAACCCCGCGAGTTTGTCAGTGACATGATGTAGATGCGAATGCGCTCAGTCCCACGTTTGGAATTTAGGGGATAGAATTCTAAATGGCGGTGACATCTCGGAAAGGGGGTCCTGCAAAACCCAGGTAATATGTACTTGGCATATAATGGCCATTGATAAATATTTTTGAATGAAGGATGAGATTGATAAGAATAAATACAGATTGATAAGAATGGGGAGAGGTTGCGTTGGGATCATACTTATGCCGATTGGAAGGGATGTTAAGGGTCAATGAATCAAATAATGGTACCTGAATTTCACGGGCATTTCTATCATTGGGAAAAGTCCCTCGGCTCCTATCTGAGCCGCCTCAGGCAAAGAATCGATGGTCTATTCTAATATTTTTACAATCGAAGACAGTGAGTAGTAACTTGTAACTTGCCTAAAGTCTCTGATCTGAGCTGAAGGTGAAGTTTAAGTTTCTTCTGTGTCCAATTCTTTTTTCTGCCACACCACTGCTTGGCACATATTTTTCAGGAAAAGAAACACCTGGAAATCAGAGTTGACTATAAAGTCAATGAGTTTGAAACATATTTCTACTGGAGAAAAAAAGGAAAGTAATTTTTGGCATTTGTTGAGAGGCATAGAGTGGAGTGGAGAGCTTGCTTTCTGTAAGCTGTGTGACCTTGGGCAAGACACTCCATTTCTCTTGAACCTAGGTCCTTGAAGACTTATTCAGAGAAAAATTATGGGTAATAATACCTTCCATAACTACATCACAGAGGTTTTATAACAAGCAAAAGAGACCATGTATTTTTTTAAAAGTACATTGTAGGTGCCCAGCGTGCATGGCTCAGTGGTTGAGCATGACATATGAACCAGGATGTCATGGTTAGATTCCTGTCAGGGTACATGATTCCCAGTGGGGGGCATGCAAGAGGCAGTCCACCAATGATTCTCTTTAATCATTGATGTTTCTCTTTTTTCCCATCACATCCCCCTGCCCCCGTCCTCTCTGAAATCAATTAAAAAATATATTTTAAAAAAATCAATTTGGATATGCTAAAAAGAACATAAACTTTATCATAGACTAGAGGCCCAATGCATGAAATCTGTGCACAAGAGGGGGGTCCCTCAGCACAGCCTGCACCCTCTCCAATCCAGGACCCCTCAGGGGATGTCCGATGGCCGGTTTAGGCCTGATCCCTGTGGGACATCCCTCTCTCAATCTGGGACTGCTGGCTCCTAACCGCTCACCTGTCTGCCTAACCCCTCTGCCTGCTTGCTTGATTACCCCTAACCACCTCTGCCTTGGCCCCTGCCATCATGGTTTTGTCCGGGAGATGCCCAGTCTATCTGGGCTAATTAGCATATTACCCTTTTGTTAGTATAGATATATATGTATAGGGGAGAACACACACACACACACACACACACACATATATATATATATATATATATATATATATAGTCCAGTGATAATTGTGGTTTTAGGATATCTTGTAACATATCACCCTCAGATAAGAGGGGATTATGATACTAAGGAAATGGGAGTCAGATTTCTCATAGTTGAAGAAGAGAGTTACAATTATGGAATAATAACTGGAATGAACCTTCTGGTGGTGAATTGGCAATGGAGGTATCAATCTATTTCTATTTATAGAAATTGATATAGGTGAATAAGTACATACATGCTCTGTCCACTGAGAAGGTCTGAAATTAATTATACAAAAAACAATGAGTACATCTAGCATAAATCTTGGTTTCTAAATACCATTCTCCTCTTCATTTTTTTTCTTCTTGGCAAAATGGTTGATTCCAGAACTAAAGAAGAGGAAGTACAGGCTGAGCCTGGAGCCTCTAGTTACAGAAGAAAGAAAGGACATGCTCAAAGAATAATGAGGCATGTCAAACGGACACAGGCCACCAGGCCTGTGTGGCTCAGTGTCAACCTATGAACCAGCAGGTCACCATTCAATTCCCCGTCAGGGCACATATTGGGGTTGCGGGCTCGAGCCCTAGTGTGGATCATACAGGAGGCAGCTGATCAATGATTCTTTCTCATCATTGATGTTTCTATCTCTCCTCTCCCTTCCTCTCTGAAATAAATAAAAATGTTTTAAAAGGACACATGCCAACTTGTGTTCCACTGGCCAAATCTGGGACGAACTGGAGTCTTTTCTCCAATACTGTGCCTTGAACCCCAGGAACATGCTTCCCAGACCTTAGGGAGACACCTCCTACCTAAGAGATCTCTTCTTCTGTGGAGCTTCTATAATCCTCCCAACAGGTTCCGGATATAGGCACACTGGTGCCTATATAACCCATTGAATAATATAGGAAATCATACAAAGGTAAATAAACATAAAAGTTTGAAAAGGATGGGAAGATTTCAAAGTATCACCCCATAGAAAATTAGAGTAGCTTTATAGTGAAGTCTGGCAGACACCACGTTAATCAAGTGATCAAGTGATGTCAGTAATGAGACAATAACCATGCACCCCCTGCCCTGATCAGGTGGCACAGTGGGTTGGAGCATCGTCCCACATACTAAACAGTGGTAGGATCTATTCCTGATCAGGGCACATACCCAGGTTTCAGGGTTCATCTTGGGTTAGGGCTCACATGGGAGGCAACTGATCGATGTTTCTCTCCCATATCGACATTTCTCTCTTTCTCTCCCCTCTTTCTCTTTCTCCCTTTCCCTCTCTCTAAATTCAATTTTTAAAATATCCTCAGGTGAGGATTTAAAAGAAGAAGAGTCTTGGGTTCGATTTCCGGTCAAGGGCACATACCTGGGTTGGAGGTTCGGTCCCCAGCCCTGATCAGGGTGCTTGTGGAAGGCAACCAATCCACATGTCTCTCTCGCATCAATGTTTCTCTCTTTCTTTCCCTCCTCCCTCCCACCCTTCTACTCTCTCTAAAAAGCAATGGGGAAAAAAATATCCTTGAGTGAGATTAAAAGTAAATAGAAATCACCAAGAATAAAAACACTGTAAGGAACACAAACCTGTAAGAGAAGGTTAAAAACATTGCAAACACAAATATTTAACCTTAAGAAGAAAGGGATAAAGTCTAGAACTCTGACTAATGCCAAAATCTTAGTGACAGGCTTCATGCACAGTAATTCAGAGAACAGACTTAGATTCCATAATCTTTCTCTGTGACAACTTACTAAACGGTGAGTTGTAGTTTTCTCTTTCTCTCTATTTTATGTCAGTTCTCACCAGAAGATATTTTTCCATTGATTTTTAGAGAGAGTGGAAAGAAGGAGGAGGAAAGAGAGAGAAATATAGATGTGAGAGAGACACATTAGTCAGTTGCCTCCTGCAACGGAAGTATGCGCCCTTGACCAGAATCAAACCTGGGACCCTTCAGTCCACAGGCCTCCTTGTATACACTTGAGCCAAACTGGTTAGGACTAGTATTCTCGTTTTAATGGGGATGATAAGAGTACCTCACAGGGTTGAGTGCATTAAATGAGATAAAGTGCTGGCCACAATTCTTCATAACCCATATAGCTGTCAGCTATAATTATGAATAATTATTTGTTGCTTAATAATAATACAAAGGCCTGAAGAGTACCTAGAGAATTAGGAGAAAAGGTTAGGAGAGTCTTATCCCGAAAACAAGGAAAGGAGGGAATTGCAGAAAGAAAATTTATCAAAGAAAGACACTCAGGAGGGTTGGGGTCAGGGGAAGAGATCAACCAAAGGACGTGTATGCATGCATATAAACATAACCAATGGACACAGACAGTAGGGGGGCGAGGGCACGAATGGGGTGTGGTGGTGGCAATGCGAGGATAGGACACAAATGTAATACCTTAACCAATAAAGAAAAAAAGAAAGAAAGACACTCAGCTCCACACCAACATTGGTTGGCAATGACTATGGGACTCTCTCTCTCTTTGCAGGTAATCCAGTACCATCAGATCTTCCTTAATTTTTATATCAAACCCAAGCTGCTCTATTGTCTGTTTTAACATTCCATTTGCCCTTAAAACCCATTTCCCTGAAAAGGAATGTTTGCTCCAACCTAAAATCTCTGTTTCCTGCTTCTACTGATATTACCTATAATTTCTCCATGACCATGTCTGCTAGTCTCTTCCTTAGTATTCCCTCTCCCTCCTTTTTCTTCAAAACTCTGTTCATACAGTCTCCTAAATGCTACCAGCACTGTGCCCCGATCCTGCCATCCCTTATCTAATGAGAGGCCTTGCTCATAGGCGTGTGCCACATGTATGAACAGTGTGGGAGCAGAAAAAAAAGTTGATAGCTACTCTGTCTCCTTATAAAAATCTCC